AGATGCTTACAGATCGTGATATTAAAAATATCAACTACTGGTTTTTAAGCATGCTATATGATTTACTTGCTCTTAATTGGCTCACCCAAAAATTGCAATGTGAAGCATATAAGTTCAGATATAGCTTTCTCCTCTGAGTTTCGCTTTGAGACGACGATTATTTAATTAATTTTTTGATGTTTCCCATCGGTTAGACGTTATGCATTGGAATATCCATTCTTTCCAAAAGGCTCTTTTGCAAAGTAATTTAATGTTTTCTCTTTTTTGAGAATCTGAAGGTTGGTATGCAATATCAATGTATGTAGAAACTTAAAATTTTCATTGAATGGAGAGGATATAACAATTTTGATGGCAATTTAACAACAAAATGTATACTGTCAGCATCTTCTACGCCTCATTAGCATTTTCATGATCTTATTTGCATTTTCCGTACCAAAACTAAAATTGAAGCAGCCATTTTTCTCCAAATCCCCTTGTGGCTGTTTGATTCATGTTTATAAGCCTTACATTTCTCCTTGTGCTGTGGATTAAAGACCATGCCTACTATTATGTCATATACATACATATATATATATATATACATACATATATACATATATATATGTATGGTCTCCTTCTTTTACTAACCATATAGTGTTTTGTTTTGTATGATGGCACTTGCCTGCTGTTTTGTTACTCATAATTTTAATAAATATGATATGTTCAGTTGTGAATAGGATATGTTGATAAGGTGTTGTTTACAAAGACCAAGGTCATATGTTGTTCATAAATTTTATACCCTCAAACTTCTATGAAAATGTTCATAAGTGAAGAACTTTGTTTTGTGATGAATTCAACGTTGTTACTTATGTATGTGTAGTGTAATATGCTCACTTTTGCACATTTAAATATATCATTTCTAAACTTTCGACTTCTAGCAAACATCATTCAATGATTTCATATAGAAAAAAAATAGGGACAACATCAATGAACTCATGCGTAGAAACTTGGAGATTGTATAAAAATGCATTTTCTTTCAATTTGTCCATGTTATTTTACAGTGAAACATTGTTAATAAGTGAACTTTATCATATAAGGACGTCAAATTGTTCAACGACGAACAATACATGTTGTATATGATTTCTTTTGTTGTGAAAATTGATTCGTTTCACTAAAGAAGATTTCAGTTACTACTGAAAAATCGTTTAGAAAATTTCTTAACTGAATCAAAAAAAGCTTTCATAATCTTCCTATTTTGATTTCCCGTGGTATTAGGGATATATTTTGTTTCCTAATCCCTTTGATTTTATCATTTACCTTTTTACCCATGTTCATGTATGAACACTATGGAGGACGCGTCTTTAATATATTTTGGATGCTTAAATAAAATTAATCAAATCTAAACCGTTGATGGACATTTTGGATGGATGAGATTGATTAACAAAATTAACACTAATTGTTATATATATATATATATATATATATATATAGAGAGAGAGAGAGAGAGAGAGAGAGACTTGGGATCATGTGAGACCAAGGGTTTTTCCTGAGACCCGTAACACCAATTCTCAACATTTGGATTAGATCTACAATCTGACAATCTGAACATTCATAAACGCCACGAGATTTCTCAATAATCACAAAATTGTCACAGTGCAAATTTAGATCATTAGCTTATAAATTTGATCAATAAATATAAATTGGTCTTACGGGTCTCACGAAAAATCCTGGGTCTCACGTGAACCCAACCCTATATGTGTTTGTTGGTTTTAGTTGCTCCTCCCATTCCAGTAACTTTGGAGATCATATTACACCTATGTTAATACTACAGATTGAATGAACAATCAATAAAAAAGTCAAAGTACAAAATTTATTCCATATATTATGAAGTGAATCGTCTCAATGAGTAGTCAAAGACTAGACAATGGATTGTTAACAAAATAGAAACTGTAACTTAATGGATGATTGATTGCATCATTGCTGGTGAAATTTATGTATGATTTTGCTAACAGTTGGACTGAAATCAAACAAGAAATTAATCATGGTCGCATGAAACAACTTCATCAAAAAAGGTATTATATGAAACAATTTCACAAGATTAAACAATTTCATATTTTTTTTTCCATAAGATTAAACAATGAAATCGACGGATGATGGTGGTTTGCACGGTTTGTACAAATTGTACAAATTGGATGATTTGTATTTGATCGTGTCTCTCTCTCTCTCTCTATATATATATATATATGTGTGTGTGTGTGTGTATATATATATATATATATATATATATATGAGCGATCAAATGAAAACCACTCTCATTTGTACAAACCGTACAAACCACCCTCATACGTCGATTTCATTGTTTAATCTTATGAATTTTTTTTCATGAAATTGTTTAATCTTGTGAAATTATTTCATATATGGTTATTTAATGAAATTTTAATGAAACTGTTTCATGTATTTTTCTAAAATTAAAATAATGAAGATGATAATATCCATGATTAACACCCTCTACAATAAAAATGGTTAATCAACCTCTCATAATTACAAAAAATGAACAAAATGAAAAATTATGATTGATTCAATGAGTTTTGCACGGTTTGTACAAATTGGGTGGTTTTTATTTGAACGTTTCTCTCTCGCTCGCTCTCTCTCTCTCTATCTATATATATATATATATATATATATATATATATATATAT